GGGTTTTCTGAGAAAAAATTCACTTTGTGATTAAGTTTGATATCATTTTCTTTGAATTGTTAATTAAAGTTATTGGATTGCTTCCTTAAAGTCTAAATGTGATTTTCCCATTTCTCGGGATCGAATAAATTTATAAACATTTGTTGCTATCCTTTTCCAAAAAGTATTTATTATTTTTATTATTATTGTTATTATTATAATTACTATTATTATTATTATTATTTTTATATTAATTCACTTTACCAAGGATGAGAAGGCCACTACAGTACTTTAGCTGCGGTATCAATTCGCTCTCAAAAAATTTCAACAATTTAAAAGAATGCATTAGTCAAGGAGAGTGTTTCAATAAAAATTAAAATACTCAAGAGATTGAAAAATACAAAAACGCAGTACAGCAGGCTAGGGCGCAAAGCAAATGATGATAAGCAGCAAATAATTAAAGCAACAGCTGCGTTTCGGGTCACAGAAAAATAAGTTAAAAGTAATAGGTGTCGTAAAATTTTTGGGAAAGCTTGAAATTAAGAAACCAGAGACAAAATTCAAAATACAAAAGGAAGTTTTATTCCACTAAAAGATTTTTTCCAGGAAAGAAAGTTTCTAGAACTTCTTAACAAACAAAACATTATTTTATTTATTTAGTAAAAACAATGTTTTTATTATAAAATACAAATTTATTGTTCGATATATCCATCTTTGGCTTTAAGTATTTTATCAAGTCTTATGATAAATAATTTACATGCTACAAAAATATGAGTTTGAGGAATTTTATTCCATTACCGAAAAAGAGCTAATTTTGACAAGCTAAAACCTTTTATTATTTTCAGACCATATTTTCTAGAACGCTCTAAATAGAGCACCAGATGCAAATCCCATGGATTTGCATCTGGTAATAATATGCTAATATCGATTTTGCATCTTTGTGTGATGGTGCTGAGTCCTGTTGGAAAGTCGATAATATGTAACTAAAATGAGCTTGTGCCCAAGAATTAAAACGGCTTTCAGCACTAATTCTCAATAACACAGTATTAAATTTGACCCCAGATTTCAAAATAACAAATAAAGAACGTCCATCAGAGGTCACTGCAGTCCATACTTTATCATTATTTGAGGAGGTTTTTTGGCCAAACAAATACTTAATTTTTAATTATTTTGTTTATTCATATTTTGGTGAATAGTTTTTCTTCAGTAAAGACAATGTTGGCTAGTTCTCAATCTTTGTGAAATTGTTTTAACAATTTTTCTCTATCTAGTTATAGCCTCTTCTGCTTTTTTTTAAGGCCATGAACTTTATATTTAGAGAAGCATTTAGCGAATATTGATAAAGTTTTTTTATTTTTCGCTAAATGCTTCTATCAGAGAATACATTTCATGAGACAATTTTCGAACCATATTAGGAGCATTAACAATTTTATTTCCAATCAAATCCATAACGTTTTTTTATATTGTCGTTTCAAATGTTAAGATGATATTTAAATGTCCCAACTGATTAACAATCTCTTTATTAGATTTCACTAACTAAAGCGCAATGACACATTCGCGTTTGAATTCCATGGCACTTAAAACATTTATAATACACAGTTTATTAAAATCCTTAACCATACTTGTCAATAACCACATAACTTTGACAAAATTGAACGTTTTATACATATAAATATAAATATATATATATATATATATATATATATATATATATATATATATATATATATATATATATATATATATATAATATATATATATATATACATATAATATATATATACATCGACTGACAAATAGCCTGACTCGCAGTGGAGTGCTGCTACATCGGCTGAGGGTTTGGTATGGGTCAGCAACATTTTCATTCATTATTCTTCGTTTTCCCTTATCGTTTTCTAAAAACGCTCACTTAATTTAGGCTAGCAAAAAAAGTGAGCAATGGCGCATATAAATATGCTATAGTAGATAAATAAATAAATATATATATATATATATATATATATATATATATATATATATATATATATATATATATATATATATATATATATATATATATATATATATATATATATATATATATATATATATATATATATGTATATATATATATATATATATATATATATATATATATATATATATATATATATATATATATATATATATATATATATATATAATAGTGTTTTATAAAAACAACATTTTTAAAAAACCCTGCTACCACCCATTAAAAATAACACTTGATTTAAAACTTTTTGGAATAAAATAATAATTTAAGGTATACCTCAAGAGCCTTGAACATATAACGGGTCCCTAATATTACCAAAAAAATAGTCAATTTGGATACTCAAATAAAACGAAATTAAAAAAAAAAATCAAAAATAATAATCTTTTTATATAAAAAGTTATATTTGAGATTTAACTGCATAAAAATGATGTACTTGGTGAAAAAAATTAAAAAAATGCATTTTAACTTTTTTTTAAAAAAAAATTCTAAAAAATTTAAAATAACAGTTTTTAAAAAAAAAAAGGTAGGGGCCCATTAAATGTTCAAAAGTCTTGAGGAACCCTTTAGAATATTTTTAATTCGTAAAAGCTTTAAATCGAATATTATTTTTTGTATAAAATACTTTTAGTGGATAGAAAAAGACTTTTAAAAAATTTTTTTTCGAGAAAATATTTATTATTTTAGTAATTATCACACCCGGCAATAGTAGACCGACCCGCAAAAAAAAATGAGTTCATTTGTCATAATTGCAATTATGAAAAAGAAATGATTTGCCTGCTTCGATACCCAGTGGGCACGGAAGTAAAAAAGACGTCTTTTAAACGTTTAAAATACGTCCAAAACGTTCAAAAGACGTTCAGAAAACGTCTAAAACGTGTATAAGACGTTTAAAAGACGTCCTTTTTTACTTCCGTGCCCACTGGGTAGTTGCTTCTATTTCGGTCAACAAGTTAAAAAACATTTTTTTTAACTTGTTGACCGAAATAGAAGCAACTATCGAAGCAGGTTTTTTTGACACCTCTCAGTTTTTGAAGAAGTTTTTAAAGTGCCTTTGACTGTTTCTGATAACTTTTTGTTCAATTTTATGCTTTTTACTACGAAAACTACTTTGCTGGACCATCACATGAGAAAGTACTCTCTTCTAATGTTAGTTAATTTTTATGTTAATTTACAAAAATTAAATATTGATCATGATTTACGTTTAGCTAATGAGCTGAGACCAAAATTTGTGGGACGTAATTTGTAGTTCATGTTGCGCAAGTGCGGAAAAAGTTTGGTTGTCCTACGTTGAACTGATTTGAACTTTATAATGTCCTTTTTTAGGAAAGGGCTCTATACTTGAGCACAGTACTCAAATATTGGTCGCACTTACGCGCTATAAAAATTCAGTTTTAATAAATTTCTTTTGAGTATCCCAAGCTACTCTTAAAGTTTGCTTTAAGAGTAGCTTGACTTATCTGTTCTGACAATTTTAGTTTACTATTAACTATGATACCCAATGTTCTCTCAACAAATACAGCTTTTTTTTAAATTCATTTATTTAGCCGTACAAATACTTACAAGTTCTGTGTTTTATAATATATATAAAGTTGGCAAGGACGAGAAGAATTCAGATTTCTCTTATCACCAAGTCCTTTTTTTTTTTAGAAATTTATATAAATACGTTGTAACTAAAAAAAAAAATATGTTTCAAAAAAGTTTATATAAAATGCAAAATAGTTTAATAGAGTCTTTTAAAGTTATTTTTAATAAAAGTTAAGGAAGAAATTTAATTACAACAACATGAAGGTTAACTTACGGTTATGCAATGCTGTTAAGAAGAATGCGGCTCACATTGAAACCGTTAAACTTTAGAAATTTACATTTAATTATGCTAAATTCCATGCGCCAGAGCTTGTTAGATTTGTTATGCAGAATCTAGATCTGACAAAACCATATAAATTCTAAGATAAAAAATTAAAAGTGTTTAGTCATAATATCACGTATAATTCTTTCCATTATTTTTCCATCTGCAGAGGTAATGGAAAAATGCCTTTAATTTCCAGGATCCGTACGATTCATTCCAGGATCAGTACGATGATCTTTTTTAAGTATATTAACGGGAGTTTAATCAATTAACTTATTTTATGGAACAGAATAAAACTTTTTTTTTTACTATTTAAAGATTGTAAAAAAAAGTTTTTTTTACAATCTTTAAACTGTAAAAAGGTTACAGGTTACTTCTTAAACAAAAGAATGTTCTGTTGATTAATAGACTCTATAACGTTAAAGATCTATTCTAAGCTAATTAATCATATGAATAAGATCAATCATAGTTCCTAATATACATTACCACCAAAAATATCTTGTCACTCCTATTTTATTTTTTATGTAACGATCAAATTTGAAGATATTCTGCGCCGCTGAATAGCTTTAAATATGTTATTATATATAAATATATTATTCTATATAAGTATATTATTCTATATAAATATATTATTCTAAATAAATATATTATTCTATATAAATATGTTATTCTATATAAATATGTAAAAAAAAAAAAATGTACAAGCATCCAATTAAATAAGTTTTTGTTATTCAATTGAGGTCATATATATATCTTTTGAATTTACTGTTACGAAATAAAAATTAAATGTTGCTTTATTTACAAGATGTTGTTGTTTTGTTTTTTTTCTAAAATTTTAAGATTTGTTTGTAGAAAAATATTTTAGGTTATTGAAGTCTAGAAAGAAGTTTAAAAAAACTCTGACGTAAAAATTGGTAAACGAATGTCGTAGTTAATAAAAAGAGAAAAAAAAAAAGCTGTTAAAAATTTTTTTTCTTCATTTTTATATCGTTTTGATTTTTAATTTTTAAAATATTAAAATGAGGTTTTTAAATTCTTCTACCCCGCAACTTTCCGTACTTTTTTCCACTCACTCGAAAAATTGAATTCTGCGGTAATTTTATTGAACCGATTTTTCCGTCAAAAATAACAATTTTATTATTTAAAAAGAATTTCGCGTTTCGTTAAAGCGAAATGAGTCCATATGATCCGGTAATACGGAGGTACGATATATAAAAGCCCACTTCTATGTATTTTACAAACAGCAGTTTTTTGTTTCTAGTTAATATAAATTATTAGAAGAAGGACTTTATTTTACTTTCTGTCTCTCTCTGCTTTCTAAAGTTGAAGAATTATTTAATTATAATTATTGAAGAATTGTAGAATGGAACAAGCTAAAAACAAGAGGTTTGTTATTCTTGGTTGTTTGATAACTAACAAATAGGAAATAATAAATTAAAACAAGAGGTTTGTTATTCTTGGTTGTTTGCTAACAAATTAGAAATAATAAATTAAGACTATAACTTCTATAAGATTTTTATAGAAGTTTTTTAAACGTAGGTTATTTCGTTGTTGTTGTTGCATAAATATAACTGTTATAAAATATAAAATTAAATTATAACCTTTATAAACCCTTTTTAAATTTTTTTATGTGCCGTTGTTTAAAATTATATATTCACCTGCGAGGAAAAAAATCTTATATATTTAACAAACCTGTTCTTAAAATGTATATATATTTTTTAATTTTGTATTGTTATACTTCATGTTTATTTTTTGTTATAAAAAAAAATTTTAATTGTAATTTTCTGTTAGACATTATTTCTTTTTGTTATAAATATTTATCTTTTTTATAGATAAAATGTTCATATGTGTTTAAGAGAGATCAAAAATGAACAAACCTATGATAGACATAAACTCAATGACTATTCAAGAGTTGGAGAGTCTTCCTGGAATAGGTAAAGCTAAAGCTTCAGCTATTATTAATCATAGGGAAGTGCTCTCCAGTTATCAATCACTATCTGATCTTATTTCTGTTGAAGGAATAACAAAGACTTTAATATCAAAAATACAAGAAGAATACGTTATAGTATTCAGTAAAAGCAAAGATCAACAATGCAACTCAACTTTAAAAAACCAAAATAATATTTTAAAAAGACAGTATAAATTAGACTCTAATATTTCACACTGGAAAACCGATAAAGAGAATCCTTCTCCAGATAAAAGATGTAAAAATAGTGATGTTTCTCATGATGATTTGTTATTAAATAATCAAATTTGTGCTACCTCAATTTCTTCATTGTGCAATTCATTTCTCAATGCTGATCACACTGTTTCATATAAAAATGATATTCCTTATGGTATGCCTCAATGGTTAAATCAGTTTAAATCATGGGGGAGAGAAGAAAGACTTTATGCTATAAATGAACTGATTGGTTTGTGTGACATGTCAATTGTTCGTCATATGATGGCAAAAATTGAACCTTATTTTCAAAGAGACTTCATATCGTTACTACCAAAGGAACTTGCTTTATATGTGCTATCTTTTTTAGAACCAAAACATTTGTGCAAAGCTGCCATGACATGTCGGTATTGGAGAGTGTTAGCTGAAGACCACTTGTAAGTTTTAGTTTATTATTTTTTTATTTTTTTATTATGGCATGTCACATATCATGATCGAATTAAAAATCATATATATTTTTAATCATACAAAAATTATATAATCATAGTTTATGTATGTATATATATGTATATATATAAGTATATATACACACACACACACAGATATATATATATATATATATATATATATATATATATATATATATATATATATATATATATATATATATATATATATATATATATATATATATATATATACAAATAGTATTGCGTATTAAGGTAAGCAATCTGACGTCATACTAAAATAGCCTGCTGCTAGGGGCTTCAGTACATACATCGACTGACAAATAGCCTGACTCGCATTGGAGTGCTGCTACATCGACTGAGGGTTTAGGATGGGGAAGCAATCGTTTCATTCATCATTCTTCGTTTTTTCTTCTTCTTTTTTGAAATTTTACATTACTTAGATTTTTTTTGAGAAATTTTTTATAATGACTTTGTTTACAGGCAAATTTGTTTTTCTTAAGATGATATTTATAAGCTTTAATTTAACAGCTGAATGTATTTATACTTTTATTACCGTAATGTTGTTTTTAAAATAATTTTATTTTGTATTGTTCTATTGTTATACTTAAAAGTAACCTATTTAAGCATTGTTATCTTTATATATCCAAGTATTGCCTTCTATATTTCTATATGATTGTTGTTTAGATATCTAAATTACTAATAAATTAATAAGTAATAAATTAATAAAGTTACTGAATCAAAAATATACTCAGAATGGCAGCAGCTTTGTTTGGAAAAAAAGTTGGGTGTGGAAATATTTTACCATTTCTCCTGAAGATACCTCAATTGCAATATGTAATACATGCAAACTGAAGGTTTCAAGAGGTAACAAAGAAAAAAAATCTAAATCTTTTAACACAACAAATATGTTGTGTCATATAAATATAAAACATAAAGAAATAGCAAGCAAAGAGTTATAACTTAACAAAGAAGAAAACAAAAGGAAAGCAGAAAGTGAAAAAAATGTGTTCAAGAAAATCAAGTCAACTGAAGCAAGTTGCTCAAAACAGTCCCAACAAACTTTGTTTGAAACACTTTTGAGAAAAAAACCCTGGGACATTAATGATCACAGATCTAAATTAATTGATAATTATATTGTAGAAATGATTGCAGTTGATATTCAACCTTTTTCAATAGTAGAAGACATTGGATTTCAAAGATTGCTAAATCATATATGTCCTAACTATTGTATACCAAGTAGAAAGTACATTAAAAACACTGTTTTTTAAAATATATATGACAAAGTCAGACAAAATATCCAAAAATAAATAAATGATGCTTCTTTCATTTCGTTTACAACTGATGGATGGGCATCTACCAATGGAAAATGCTCATTTCTTAGCTTGACAGCTCATTGGTTAACTAATGAATTTTATCAAAAGTCAGCAGTTCTTCGAGTCAATTTAATGTATCTCATACTGCCAAAAATATATGCGAACTAATTCAAAGTTCTATGAATGATTTGATGATATGAATGATATGATGATATGAATGATTTGATGATATGAATGATTTGATGATATGAATGATTTGATGATATGAATGATTTGATGATATGAATGATTCCAGCTTCAAAGGTACATTTAGTTGCTAGAGATAATGCAGCTAATATGGCAGCTGGAATAAGAGAGGCAGGTTACAATAGCTTGCCGTGTTTTTTACACACTTTGCAACTTGTGTTGAATGACACTATATTTGCCCAGATATATATCAAAAATATATCAACAACTTGTAAAAACATAGTAACCCATTTTAATCATTCTCCATCTTTTAAAGCGTATCGAAAATATCAAACTTAATATCAAGTGCCTCAAAATAGGTTTAAACAAGACATTCCAACAAGATGGAATAGTCAATACTTTATGTTTGAAAGAATTTTTGAACAGAAGCGTGCTTTAATCCAATTTTATTGTGATAATGATAACTCTAAACTAAAGTCCTTGGAAAACAATGAATGGATTATTTTAGAAAAATTACAACGATTTTTAAAAATGTTTAATGATATAACAAATTTATTAAGTGAGCATGAAGCAATTGCATCTGCTATAATTCCAACTGTACAAGTTATACAAACCATGTTATTTCAAGATGAAAAGTCTCCCTTGTTTTTTGGATTAGGAACAATTTTAAAAGAATGTAAAAACTCAGCAAATGAAAGATTTGAAAAATATCTCAATGACAAAAATCTCATTTTAGCCACATTTTTAGATCCAAGGTATAAAAAATAATTTTTTTCCAACCGAAAAAGCTGACAGTTATCTTGAAAATATTATTAAATGGCTTGTAGAGTGCTCAAAAAGTTTTCAACAAAATGATCATATTGAATTTCAACCTGAGGTCAGTTCTTCATCAAGTACAACAAATCTAGATTTTGATTTTTCAAAATGCTTTGAAAATTTTATTAAAAATAAAAACACTTTAATTGAAAACACATCCATATCTGAAGTTCTGCAAGAAACAGAAAGCAAACATTATGTAAAATTGAAAAATGAAGTTTTAATGTATTTGATTCAAGACATAATCATGCAACAAGATAGTCCTATAGTATGGTGGGGAGCAAATAGAAATAACTTCAAACAATTAGCTCCAATAGCTCAGAAGTATTTATCATGCCCTCCATCTTCTGTTGAAAGTGAACAATTATTTAGTTTTGGAGGAAAAATTTATTCTCCACGACAAAGTAGGTTGACTCCGGAAACAGGAGAAATGCTTATGTTTTTACATTACAATATTCATATACACAATTTTAAATACTAAGTATTGTTACAACTGCTATTGGTGCTTCCTTTAAAATCTTAAAGCTATTATTTTCTTTTGTATTTGATTTTGAAGTCTCTTATTTTATTTTGAGAAAATGTATATATTTCATGTTATAAAGGTTATTTTTATTTGTTTTTTATAAAGAGCCTAAAATTCTAAGTAAACTGCTTATCTTAATACCATTTTCTTTTTAAAATTGAAATAAAAAGTGTTTCTCTAAAATTCTATTTATTTTTTGAAAGTTTTCTTTTCATAGTTAAAAAAAAAGTAAAAAATGTATATTTATTTCATTGAGCTTTTCTAATATCTTTTAAAATATAGGTTTTGACTCTGATTTGGGACCAAGTATTTGCTTACCAGTTCTGATTCCATGAAAAATTTTACACGATTTAAAGTTGTATGGTTTTACATTTTCAAAATTATAATAGCTAGTTAATCTATCGGTATCGGCATCGGTATCGGCCTTTTCCGATCCATCGGCATCGGCCAAAAATGTGCAATCAATACATCACTAATATATATACATATATATATATATATATATATATATATATATATATATATATATATATATATATATATATATATATATATATATATATATATTTATATACACTGTTCTTTTAATAATAAGTAAAAATATCATTAGTTATAATACTACACATTTTTTTCTTGTGTTTTTAAAAGCATTAAATTACATTGTTGGTAGCTGTTGCATCTTTTGAAGGCACTCATCT